GAAGGAAGATTGAGCGATATACTTCCATAGTGATACCGTCCTGGAAACCCAGACTCAATGGCAGTGAGTTTGGTTTTTTTTTTTTTTTAAATGGTGAGCTGGGGAGAGGCCAACTCGTGGGAGCCTGTGGGCAGATGCCGTTTGTGCAGGAGGGGAGGGTGATACCTGGGGGAAGCAGAGTCAGGGCAGAGGACCTGCAGTGAGCCGGCCAGGTGTGGAGGACTCAGGAGGAGACGCAGGGGGCAGGGAGGGGCCGGAGCCTGTGGGGACCACCGGCAGGCATGCTTTTTGCACCCTCCCCACTTGCTCCCCAGGACCTGGCTGGTAGCTGGGTCTCGGGTTTGGTGGCAGTTGGAAGACACTTGCCTCACTAGCCCCAGACATTCGGGGCCCACCATGAGTCCCGTTCGTGGATACAGAAATCCACAGCATGTAGCGCACTCCCCACCCACAACCCCACTGCTGTTTCCCAACCCTGCCAGGTGGACTCAATCTAATGAGGAAACCAGGCTCAGACGGGGTAAGGGCCTTGTCCAAGGTCACACAGCTTGCAGTCAGACTGGGCTTTTTCTGGAAGTCTGTGTATTAACTCTTGAAAAGCCCACACTTTAGGGCCCAGGAACTCCCATTGTAGTGAATACCCTGAGGACAGATAGAGCAGCACTATTTGCCAGTTGCCGGGGGTCCGGCTCTGCCGTGCAGTCCCCATGCTTTCCCTAGCTCTCCCCGCCAGCCGCCACCTCAGATCAGACGGGGGACCCTGCTGAATTTGACGTTACTCAGTGGAGAAAAACAAACTCACCAGGATTCCCTCAGTAACCGGGAGTGAACTGGGGAGAGCCCAGCGCCAAATCCCTGTCCCCAACGGGACCAAGCCAGGGGAAACTGGGGGCCTCGGGACACCTGGGGCCTGGGAGACAGGGACAGGGGCCTAAGAAGGCTTGGGGACACAAGAGAGGATGTGAGGGGCTGGGTGAGGGGGGAATGAGAGGGAAGGGACATGAGTAGGGCGGGATGGCATGACAGCCCGCCGGGAGCGCCCTTGGAGACCCACAGGGAGTAGGGGTGCAGCGGTGTCTTCAAAGAGGGAATCCCACTGCTAAGTGGCCCAGGAGACCTGTGGTTAATTACCCTGTGCTAGCTGCCTCTCGGGAGTGAATTAGCTCTGAGCTGGGCACAGAGGGAGGGCGTGGCCAGGCCCCAGGGGCACCAGCTGCTGGGCTGCAGCGGGGAGGCCGGGCGGGGACCACAGACAAGGGGCCCTGAACCTGCTCCGGCTCTGGGTTCTGCGGGGGGCGGGGGAGACACCCTAGCAGTGTCCCTGCGCTGTGGTGTAGAGCCACCTGGTGACATGACGGCGTCCCTTCAAGACCCCTGGGTGGAGCCGGGGGGTTTCCTGTCCCTTCAGCTTGGGGCTGCTGTCTAAGACAACAGCCTGTCCTTGTTGTTAGGTGCCAGCCAAGCAACCCCACGTCCAACAGAACTAAACTCTGCCCGCGCCTGGGCCGGCCTCACAGTCCTTGCTACACCTGAGCTCATCTTTGCAGCCGCTGTGTCAGTCCATCTCGTTGAGGGCCTTCCCCTTTTTCCCTGACCCTCCACTTTACCAAGCGTGACATCCTTCTCCAGGGAATGGGCCCTTCTGACAACGTGACCAAAGTCGGTGAGACGAAGTCTGGCCACGCTTGCTTCCAAGGAGCGTTATGGCTGCACTTCCTGGAGGGCAGATTTGTTTATTTTTCTGACAGGCACGGTATTTTCAGTATTCTTCACCACCACAACTCAAATGCATCAACTCTTCCTCCATCTTCCTTATTCCTTATTCAGCTTTCACGTGCCCGTGAGGCAACTGAAAACACCTTGCATGGCTTGGAAGACACGGGCCTGCCTGCTCAGCGTCCTCAAGGGCCTCAGACCCAAGGCCAAGCTCCACTTCCGGCCTCCAAGGGCCTCCGGTTGGCGGCTGTGGTCCCTCAGGGCATGGCGGTGCCCGCCCCTGCTCCCGAGGCGCGGCCACCCCCAGCCCGCTCGCTCCCTGTGCTGCCGCGCTGACCTGCCCCGCGTCCTCCCGCAGGCGCCAAGGGCATCGTGAGCAGCGGCCTGATCCCCTCGCTGGTGTGGAAGCTGCTGCCGGAGGAGGAGGGGATCCAGGAGCTCATCCTGGACACGCTGGCCCTCTGCCTGCAGGAGGAGGCCTCCGAGGCCCTGGACAGCCGCATGGTGCCCTTCCTCAAGGAGGCACTCCTGAGCCCCAATGACAGGATCCGAAGCAAGGCCGCGCAAGCCCTCATGGCTGTCTGGTGAGGCCGCCAGCACCCCGCCACCTGCCTGGTAGGGCTGGGGGAGCCGGGACGGTGGCAGACCCTCTCCGCTGGTCTGACGGTTACTGGGTTTGCCCAAGAGTGCCCTGAAGCGCCCATGTCCCGGGAAGCCTCTCAGTCCCGGCCTCACGAGGGGTCCGGTCATCCTGCTTTCTGTGAAGAAAGCCCACACTGAACAGCTGCGGCTGGGAGCAATGATTCCCAGTGGCAAGGAGCCCTGGTGGTGCAGTGCCTAAGGCATTTGGCTGCTGACCAGAAGGTTGGTGGTTCAAACCCACCAGCCACTCTGCAGAAGGAGGATGAGGCAGTTTACTTCCATTAAGATTTACCACCTCGGAAACCCAATGGGGGTCGCTGTGAGTTGGAATAGACTCCATGGCAGTGGGTGGGGTTTGGGCTTTGGTTCCCTGAAGGCAGACAGCCTGGGAGACCCAGTGGGGGTGGCTGTGAGTCAGAATCGACTGGACGGCAGTGAGCTCTTTCAAAAGTGCTTGGTACGTGCTAGGCAGTTAGGGACACTCAGGGAGCCCACCACCCTCATTTTACCGTTGTGTGTCACTTCATCATTAGAAGTGACCTAAATGAGGGGCCACCCTGGATAGCTGGTCCCATCAGTGATGGCTGGTTTCATTCACCCCTTGCAGCTCTTGTTGCTGAGGTAGAGTCAAATGGGCCTCCCTGGGGTTTGCACTGGGGGTCTCTGTCCCCCATTGGCTCGAGTTCCTGTGACAGCTCAGGGCTCTGAGTGGTGGGACAGGACTGAGGGGCTCCGTTAGCCACGCTCTGCCTGAGACAGCTGTCTGGCTTCACGGACCATCTGGGTGTGCCACTGCCGAGCCTAAAACCACACCCTCGAGTCCCTCTGCACCAGGTGCCACACTCTGTCCAGTCTTGCCCCACAGGCATGGCCCCCACAGAAACCCTCCCCTGTAGGTCCCCCTGGGGCCACCCAGGGCCAGGTCCCCAGAGCCTGCACCGTCTGCTCTCTGCCCAGTGTCCCTCTGGAGGGGAAGAACCAGGTGTGGCAGTATGACGTCATCCCCATCTTGGTGCACCTGCTGAAGGACAACACGGAGGAGGTGCAGGCCAATGCTGCTGGGGCCCTTATGTACGCGACCGTGACCACCGAAGGTGAGGCAGGCAGTCTGGAGGCGACGCTCTGGGGTCGGAGGGGCAGCAGGGCGAGTGAGGGCCAGGGCCGAGGCTCTCGCAGCGTGAGCCCTGGGGCTGCTGTAGTGGCTTTTCTTCCCTGGCTCAGGGTCCAGGTGCTTCCCTACCCACAAAATAACCCTCTCTGCTGGCACTGAAGTCTGTCTTCCTTCTCTTTCCTGGCCACAGTGCCCCCTGGTGGCTCCTCACCAGCCACTCATGCTGGGATCCCTGTCCTCACACCATACTCTTTCCTGGACTTGAACCTTTTCCTCTGACCCAGGCTGGTCAGAAGCCACAATCCTGGGACTGATCACAGGCCACCCAAGAGCCTGTTCTGCTCAAATCTCTGCAAATCCCGGGCCCTTGCTTCTTTTTACTTTCTTATTGTGGAAACATACATAACATGGCATTTGCCAGTTCAGCGCCTGTTCTGGTCCCTAGTGCCACTCTGACAATTATAAACTACAAATGGGATGGCTTGAAGAAAGAGGAGTTTATTACCTTACAGTTTGGAGGCTTTAAGTCCTAGTTCAAAGTGCCAGGCTCTAGGGGCTGGGTAAAAGCCCTTCAGCCTTGGGCTTCAGCTCTGCCTCCTGCTCCCAGCCCACTGGAACTGGAGGCATTTCTTCACTCAGCTGCTGGCTGCTGAGGCTGACAAGCCCAAGGTAGACTCAATGCGCCGCACAGCTGTCACAGGTTGTCACATGGCAGGCCATTAATTCAAGTCCATTGGAAGTCCCAAGATAGGCAGAGTATGGCAGGCTGCTGAATGGCTACATACAGGGTTCAAGAGTGCCATAAACTAGAGACTATCCCTTACATACAGGACAGACTTCTCCTTAAATACAGGAAGCAGACCACATCCCTAAGGCAGCTACTCAGCTGCTTGTGGTAGATCCCACCATGGAGTTGATGGCCAGTCTCATCATGGGGAATAACTACCACCAGCTGCCCAGCCACTCAACCAGGCCCAGCCAAGCTGACACACAAACATAACTATCATGGCGCCACTCATGTCTAACCAGTGATACCAATCCCTTCAATCCTGTGCAACCCTCACCAACATTTGCTGTCAAATTTTCCATCATCAGAAATGAAACTCACTGTGACATCACTTTGCTCCGTGTAGGGGGTACAGATTCCCTACCACTGCCCCTGGTCACCCAGCCCTGGCAAATCCTGGGCCTGGTTTCCATGCCTGGAGGCTGGGGCATTGCATCCCCCTATGACCCATGTACTTCTCCATCAGGGTGTCCTGGGGGACCGCTTGGAGTGTTGGAGGGCTCTGGGGACCACAGCCAGAGACAGAGGCCAGGACCTGGGGATGTGAGGGTGGCTTCCAAGCCTTTGCCTTGGTCAGACTCAGGGGCGTCTCGGGTGTGGCAGGAGTGGCAGTGTGCGAAGGGTGGCACAGAGGACTGGTGGGATGTGATGGGGGCACACAGCGGGGCAGACATAAAGGACAAGGGGCATTGGCAGCAGCGTCAGGGGCCATGAAGCCGGTGAGTGAAGGGCTGAGTGTTCAGGGCAGCCAGGAAGCCTTGGAGGGGGAGGGCGAGGGGAGCTGCGAGCCGGCGGCAGGAGACCGGGCTAAGGCAAGCCTTCCTTCCCCTCTTGTGTCACCTCTGGAGTGTGATGAGGTGACCCCCCGTGGGATTTTGTGCCTGGCTTATAGTGGGTGCTCAGGAAATATCTACCATGTAATGGATGATTGGACCCGCATTTTTAAGGACCATTTGGTGGCCTTGTGAGGACTGCATGGTGGTCTGGGGCACGGTGGGGAAGAAGCCATCACTGGTTGGTGGCTGAGGAGGACTGGGGATGGTGGGGTCAGCCCGGGGACGTCAGGCCATGTGTGGGCAGCCAGGGCGCCTCTACTGCGCCATTAGGAACTGGTGTTGGTGGCCCGCAGGGAAGTACGCGGCCCTGGACGCGGAGGCAGCACCCCCACTGCTGGACCTGCTGTGTTCTTCCACGAGCAAGGTGCGCCTCAATGCCATCAAAGCACTCACCATGCTGGCCGAGGCCCCCGAGGGCCGCCGCTACCTGCAGGCCCACGTGCCCACCTTCCGCGTTAGTGAGAAGGACGAAAGCCCGGCTGTGCGGCGCGCAGCCCACATCGCCATCAAGGTCATTGAGTGGAAGCCCTGAGCCAGCCCTCGGCTTGCGGGGCGGGACTGCGCCATCACACAGGCCTGCCAATAAACTAGCTGAGCTCTCTTTCATGGGTTGAAATGGCTTCATGTTCCTGGAGTTTGGGGCTGTCTCCTCTCTCTCCTACCAAAGGGCAGATGCCAGGACCAGCAGCCAGGGCCAGCAGGCGAGGGCATGTGCCCAGAGCCAGGGTGTCCAGGGAAGGATGGGTGGCTCTGGGGGTGAACACTTTCTGCTGGGGTCACAGGCCTGGGGGCCACGAAGCCCCTTAGCAGGTAGAGTGCAAGGGCTGAGCCCTCAGAGACAAGGGGGTGAGCCCGGGGAGTGGGGCTGGGAACTAACCCAGCTGGGCATTTGCTGGACCAGGCCTGTGGGTATGGCTGGCATGGACGTGGCAGGCCCTCCCACAGAGTGGCAGGAAGGGACATCAAGGGTTCGACCCTATGTGGGGTCCTTCTGCAGGAGTAACGTTCAGGACAAGGAGCTGTGGTGGCGCAGCGCATAAGGCAGCTGACTGCTAACTGGAAGGTAAGAGGTTCAAACCCACCAGCTGCTCTGCGGAACGAGGACAGGGTGAGGTGCTTCCATAGAGATTGACAGCCTTGGAAACCCAGGGGAGGTCACTGTGAGTCGGGAATGACTCGATGGCATGAGTTGGGTTTGGTTTCATGTTCAGGACAGGGCTAGCCTTCTAGTGTGTCTGCTAAGATTTTTCTCCAAAGCAAAACAGTTGCCCTGTAAGAGCCGGGGCTGGCCTGCGGCAGGTCACAGTGCTTTCTGTCTCCTCCCCACCTGCCTGTCCCTAGGGCAGCCGCACAGTGAACTGGACAAGGCCGAGAGACAGAGGGCTGAGGGAGGTGGTGTGCAGGGAGCAGAAGGGAGCTGAGTGACGAGTGTTGTGGGGTGCTGATTTGAGCTCTCAAAGAATATAACACCCAGAAACACATTGACAAAAGTGCAGGACTTGCTCGGTGAAAACTCCCCAAATTAGTGAAAGACATGAAAGGCATAAGCCACTGGAAATATATTGGGAACGCCGTTAAGACGGTGACGTGTGTCTTCAAGCAACTCAACACGTCTGAAAGGAAGCCCACCCCTCCTGAAGCTGCCTTTTGTCCGTGGGGCCTGTCTTCAGAGGTGGTGCACCCCTAGCCCTCCCCCCAGAGATGAATCAATCCCCATGTCCTGTTACTGCTCTTACTGCCAGTCCCCTTCTCATTCCTCTCTGCCACCTAGTGTGCCTACTCTTACTCTCCAACTGAGCCCTGGTTGTGCTGTGATTGAAGCACTGGGCTGCTAACCAAAAGGTTGGTGGTTTGAACCCACCATCCACTCTGCTGGAGAAAGATGAGACAGCCCACTTCTGAAGACAGACAGCCTTGGAGACCCTGTGGGGCAGTTCCAGTCTGTCCTCTAGGGGCGCTGTGGGTCAGAATGGACTCCAGGGCAGTGGGTGTGGTTGGGGCTTTGCTTCTGTGAAGACTGACAGCCTTGGAGACCCTGTGGGGCAGTTCCACTCTGTCCTCCAGGGGCGCTGTGGTCAGAATCAACTCCAGGCAGTGGGTGTGGTTTTGGTTTCTGGTATTCTCAGACTACCCTGGTGGTGTCCTGCCGCTCAGTCATCTTCCCACTGAGCAGCTGACGCCTCACTTCCTGCCTCGGTCCCCCGGGACTTATGAGGCCCGGCTGGTTGTCCTCCCCTCCCATGGCTCCCCATGCACGTGCCGTGTCTCAGAGTCCTCAGATACCCTCCCACCTATGCCCTGCCACGCGGCTCACTGACCTCCTCCTCTGGCCTTGGGGTGACCCTCCCTGGCCTAAGGCACGTGCAGGGCTGGCATTAGGCAGGGTTGGCTCGGCCCCCTCCCGTCCTCACAAGCTCCCTACCTTGCTAACCCTCACTGTGGATCATGTGAAACTCAGGCCCTGCTAGTGCCTCCCGCCAGGGCTGGCTCTATGGCCAAAGCCAGAGAGTGAACGCAAACTTGCCCTGTCTGGGGTGAGCGGCAGGCCACGCTAGGCTATTGCTCTCCAGGGGGTGGTTCCCTTGCACCCTGTTCACAGCTGTCTCCTTGGTGCTGACACGGGGCTGGCACCCAGCTGAAGGACTAAAGGGGGCTGTTCATGTGAGCCCCCCTCCTGAGTGAGATTTCCATGGTGCCGGGTGGGCTCCAGGCATTTCCTCAAGATGCTAATTGCTACTTTGGTCTGGGGGTCAGGAGGAGGTAGAGGCGCTGGGAGCCTTTGCAGAGGTCCCACCCAGGATGGCCTGGTCGCTAAAGGGAAGGGGACCCAGTGGGAGGTCTGTCAGAGCAGGGACCACTGAGCCACCCAGCTGGCCACCCTCGGCCAGGCGGGCCATGGCGCTGCACTCGGACAGCTCTGCCCCAACTGGCCTAGACTGGCCCGGGACCGTGTAGCCTCCCACTGTGGGTGGGAGAGCTCACCCAGCACGGGAGTCCCACAGGCAGGGCCACACCGTGCAACGTGGGGCACAGCCCACCGTCGGAGGGGAGCTAAGACACTTGATGGCAGCAGACGGTCCTAAGCAAAACCCCACCCACATCTGGAGATAAAAAGCCACCATCAGACATGAAGGGAGGGTCTGTGTTTAGTCAGCAAAGCCAGGGGGAAAAGGTGACTCACTCTGTGGAAGGACAGAGGTTCTGTCTGCGCAGCCAGGGGCAGCCACAGGGGTCACTCCCGTCCCTTCTGCACCCACCTGCAGCTGGCAGCGCTGCAAGCGGACCCCAGCACCGTGTCATGCGTGTGGCCCCCGGCCCACTCCACAACTCCTGCAGGAAGCACCCTGATCCCGGCGGGGCGGTCCAGGCCCTGCCCGAGCCACCTCAGAAGAAGCAGATGTAACCCAAGAGCAGCAGGATGACCAGCAGCAGCCTGCTGGCCCCGATCAGCTTCCTCCCGAGGGGGGTGTTCAGCATGTCACGTTGATTCAAAATCTTGGAGACTCGCTCTCCGGGGTCCAGCTCTCCGGGGTCCAGCTCTCCGGGGGTCAGCTCTCCGGGGGTCAGCTCTCGGGGGCTCAGCTCTCCCGGGGTCAGCTCTCCGGGGTCCAGCTCTCCGGGGCTCAGCTCTCCAGGGGTCAGCTCTCCGGGGGTCAGCTCTCGGGCGCTCAGCTCTCCGGGGGTCAGCTCTCCGGGGTCCAGCTCTCCGGGGCTCAGCTCTCC